TATTGCAATGTCAGTCATATATATATATATATATATATATATATATATATATATATATATATATATATATATATATATATACATAGTACTTATTATTTGGATACACTGGCCAATAAATGTGGTTCAAAACAAAACAACTGTGACATGAAACATGAACACACTTGCTGCTCCTGCACACTTACTGTAGCAGTCCAGCTCTCCATGGATCATGCTACATGTGTCTATGGCAAGTGTCTGAAATGTATGTACTTGATAATTCCTCCAATTTAAATGAAATGCACAACACTTTGTGGAATGGGGCAGGGTGCATAAACACAATCTCCTGAGAGAGTTAGCCCCCCCGGCACAGTTAATGTATTGATTTTACAGCGCTGCGCCATGATAAAACTATTTCATGAATTCCAATGAGACTCCTTTCACCAGACTGCTGCAAAAGGGGCAAAATACAATCACCACAACGCAGAATATGTCATTGTGTTCATTGCTTGTATAATGCATTTCTTTTAGATATATGGGTGATGGTGGCAGGTTGTGAGGGTGGGGTGACTGTGAATGTTGCTGCTTTAATCTCCCGTCATTTAGAGCAATACCTCGTTCCACCTCAGTGTAAAGAGCACATGTCTACTGCACACACAAATCAGGCTTTATCTTGATTGTACATGTTGTGATGTTATGAACACCTATATATACTTTTTTTTTCTGGGCATACAAGTCACTACTGCTGCTGTGGCCAGACTTGCTTTTTGATTTATCCAGTTGATAATATATATATATATAAAATAAAAAAAGCATTGGTCACTTAAACTCAGCCAATCACATGTTATTTGTAATTGGCATTACCTGACTTCTGTTACAGTGTGTGATATATTGCAAACTTTCATTTGATTATTTCCCTTATCAGTACATTTGGGAATTCTGGTAAACGTAGAGAATCCAAATCCACGCAACAATAATCCAAGCAGAGGAGAAAATAAATCCAAGAACATACAGGCAGGGTTGCGGGTACCACACGACAAATGATTTCAACACCAACAACGATGACGAGAACTGAACAGAACCTAAGGCAGTATATACTAAAGCACACCGCACACACAGGCTACCATAACACAGAACCTATAACTGCAACATGTGCAACATTAAAAAGCAATACATCTTCACATTTGAGAAGCTGGGACCAGCAAATGTAATAATATTTATAATAATTAATTCTACAGTGCTGTATAGGGGCTTGAATTTAAACACAAATTGTACAGTGTCTGTTAAAAAATGTTATTACCTCTTTTGTGTCACAGAATATCATTATTAGAAACGTGGTCACTTTTTTGTGTTTTTAGAGGCTTTCAGGTTTTACTTTATGTATTAAGGTCTATGTAGTTTAAGGACTAAATAACCTAATTTTGCTAGTGTATATTTTATATTTGTTGGGCCTTTGGCTGGACCTTGTCTTCTTGTTTGTTGGAATCTGGTTGGTTGGCTACCAGGCAGTTTTCGCATTGCCAACAATGTAGCCACTCCTTGTTCGGCATTTCATATATAATAGGTTATGAGATGTCAGGTTTCACTTGTACATGCTGGACAGGTATAAACAGGTGGAATTAATTCACAGCCAGTTGCACATCACAAGTTGGACTGTAATGAGCTGCTCGCAGAGTAAAGAACAACTGGCACACTCTCATATGTAAATGCAATAGTGATGTCTGAAATAAAGTGCTCTCAAGTTATGATGAGTCAGCACTAGTTGAGAGATACCAACCATAACTGTGAGTGAACGGACAGAGAGGCTATAGGCTGATATGTCGTGTCTGCCGGCTGATGGCTGATGGTCGTGTCACGGTGGGACAGAATGGCCAATGGGGCTCAGTTCAGCACCAGCCAGGCCCATCTGCTTGTCACCTGGCCTTGGCACGCCGGAGACCGGGTAATGACAGGGAAAGAATGGCATCAGTGGGCAGAAGCTGAGAGGTAATTACTGACAGGAATCCATGCAGAAACAACACATCTGGATCCATGAGTCAAAATGTGGAGAATTATACACTGATACCAGCCTCAATTCGTGATTTTTATCTGTCAGAACTGTAGCACTGCGTATCAGCCCGGAGACTGAAAATCCTTGACTCCATCCCGCTCTCTCTGATCCTGATGTTCTCCGCTCAGAAGCACAGAGAAAATTCAATTGTACTTTAGGCAATGGAAAGGGAGAGAAAGAGAGCGGTGCTGATATACCAAGACAATCTGTGGGGAAAATCAGCCATGGCAGCACTATAGCTTCAGTGTTGAGTGACACTATCCTGGCTCATGTGTTACTCTTCTCTACTCCATCACTGCTCACACATTCCTCCTAAACCCCATTACTGCTGATCAATGCCACCTCTTTCACAGTTAAGAGAGAAATGATCTGCTTGAAAGTGATGTTTTCTCAGAAGATTTTAGAAAGCTTGCACAGTGCTCCTTTTGTGAGATTTTCCATTTGGTTTGGAAGATGACCTGTAATGACTACTAGTAATAAAAGTCATTGCTTTATAATTAACATTTAGCCACTTCAAAATAACTTGAAGTCCCATTAAAGGATTATCTTATTCTCTTTCTATGAAAAATAGACTGACCAGAGAAGTTAATGAAAATCTGCAGTTTGTCTGTAGGTATCAGCCGTCACCAAATGACCCTCGTTTAGTTTCCAGACAGGGTGTCTCCGTCCATGAGCCTGAGGGAGTGCAGACGTGGGCCACATTCTGACCGAGTCTCCGTCCTGCATCGATGATCGCTTTCACAAACCCCATACACTCGAATGAAAGAAGCCGCCACTGTGTGGAGTCTCAGCGCTCTCTTCCTCTCCCTCTCACTTCCTCAAATTAAGATTTCAGTAATTAAATTGATAAAAGTCACGCATGCCAATATGCCTCATGGTTCCAGACCTGATTTCGTACGCCACACAGTTGTGGAGAGCTGCAGAAGTTCTACCTTTGATGTGGCATTCTGTATTATTGAAAATAATTGGATTCCCCCCCCTCTCCCTCACACACACATACATTTTGCCCATGTTCACTCTGGGTATGCTCAGTTAATCGACCTCTTGCGAGGCAGTGCAGAGTCTCCGTTCCATCTGGGGGTTTCAGGCAGCTTTTCAGCAGAGTGGGGCCCAGGTTGTGTCTGAAAAACGGATTTGAGCGGCCCAGGCAGTGTGCTGAGGGACGTCACTTCAACAAGGTTCAGGGGTCATTCTGCAGGTTGGAGTGGCGCCTGCCAGTGAGTGGGAGCAGTGAGACTTGCGGGAGCAGTGGCGAAGCCTACCGGGGCTCTGTTGCTCTACCTCCATATCAGCTTGGCCGAGCATAAGAAAAGAGCCTCTCTGGCCCACAGGCAGCTGGCTTCTCTCCACACTCAGCGGAACGGCTGATAATCAGCAGAAAGAGACCCCTGATGATTACTCTGCCTCTGCCTAAGACGGCTGCTAACTGCTTGCCTGCTCACTCCTCAGAATGTCAAAGTAGTACTCACATTTGAAACCCCCCCTCCCTCTTCCCAGTGTGCCATAGAAAAACCTAACATGTCCATCAATCTCAGCTCTCTTTATATCAGGGGTAAATGTGACTTTAATTGCCACTGGAACAGAATGAGGAAATTTTTGATTTTCCTCTGTATGTCATCCTCTATCAACTGTGGACAGAACAGTGCGCCTCTTCCAGGACACAAGTCATCTGGCCTTGCTAGTTCAGCATTCAGCACTCTGCCTTGTGGCCCTACGCTGTGCACACACCCAGAACAGCCTTATTTTAGCAGTTGCTTTGCAGCAGAAGCATAATGGTCTTAAGCAGCTTGTGCCTCCCCGCAACAAAGGGACCACCGCAGTAAATAATGTGTTTGACTCCCAACTGATGAGTCATCAAAAGAACAGAACATCATTTTATTTTACTGACAGCACAGGCTCTCCACAGCACAGGTCAACACCACTCAGGCTGCTCCTTGAGCAGTTTATATAAATTTCAAGTGACTAAATATGAAGCGTATTAGACTGTATGAGTCACCATAGCGTGACTGCAGAAAATTCCATTTTAATACGTCACTAATGCTCATTTTAAGTCCTAAAATCTTTTTTGTTTCTTTTTTGTCTTGTGTAAGTGTTATCCGTATCCTGAACAATCAAGTATGGCAGTATAAAGTATAATACTTTACCACAACAAAGTCCCATTTGATTTAGGAAGACCTATTTGATCACATTGATTGGTATTGAAAGTAGAATGTGTCAACCTAGTGGCAGATCTTTAAGAAAAGGCTTTTAAGGGTTTAGGCAACATTAAGTGATTTGTGACTTTGATTAAATGTCACCTGAAATGGAGAAATTCCAGCAACATCAACAGGTCTCCAGCACAGCTTATGGCGGTCCGTAATGTCACACTTTTAAAAATGAAGAAACTAGTTAATTTAAGCAGGATCTAAGATAAATATTAAGCAAAACGGTAACATCTGAAAACCAAAGTCCTGTTTGAACACAAAACACAAAAATGTCAGCCCTTGTAAAAATAGAAATTGGGTTACTGGTACTGATTAACAATTGTATGAATCCTCTGTTGATACAAAAGATGATATTTTTTAGCACCTTTTAGACTTTGTTCTGGGCTTTTAAAAGGGCTAAGGATGTTGCGCAGCTCAGTGCAGGCTGTTGTTGTAAATGTGTTATTATATACTTAGACCATAAACTAGCAATTACTTTGGCTCACGCAGTAATTATTTAGAGTAGTCATTGTTATTCAGTTAAGAGGAGTATCTTTGGTGAAGTCAGCCGACAGTAGCTGTAGCCAACGCTGAAGTATATAACACAACTTATTAACTCTTCTAAGCACATAAGCCTTTTCAGTATTCTGTAGCTTAAGTGGGCTCAGCCATGGTCGCTCCATATTATCATGGCTCAGCTCATTGTGTCTTTGGCTTCTTTCTTTCTCAGTGCAATTCTCAAAGATTATGGGAACAAATTAAAGTCCATTCTTTGTGTCTTTTTTTTGCAGGTATATCCAAGGTGCATCGTCTCCAAAGGACATGGTCATCATTGTGGACGTGTGAGTATCTTGCTCCTCAGTCTCTTTCACTGCCTCCTCTTTCAACATTTCCCCCTGCCTGGAGTGGATGTCTCCCTCAAAGGGCACTAGTGCCACCTGTTGGTCTGAGAAAAGCCTAAAGTTAGAGGAAGTCGATCACTGCTCATTTCCTCACCTCAATTGAAGTATACTCATCATCCAAAACATGTCCTCCACAAGTTAGGAAAATGGACATGAGCAGGATTAGGATCTGTCTTCTCACAACTGAGCCTCATTGCGTGTTTTCTGCAGGAGTGGAAGTGTCAGCGGACTCACTCTGAAGCTGATGAAAACCTCTGTAGTGGAGATGCTGGAGACACTATCAGATGACGACTATGTGAATGTGGCCAGGGTAAGTAGAAGCTCGCAGAACATGATGATACAACTCACTCGCGAAAGCAACAATGACACAAATATTTGTTGTTTTTATTAAGCAGGTGCTAATCAAGCAGGAAGTCAGTGAATGGCACCGCAAGCTCAAACTGTTGTCTGCTTGCAGTGGAAATGTCACACTTACCTCATTATAGTATATTTGCTTTGTATTTGCACCACCGTTGTCTGTGTGGTATTGTGCCCGTCTCTCTCTTTCACTCTGATTACCAAGCTTTCCATTAGGAGTGTTGTTTAGGGAAATATTAATGTTATCCTATATTGCAAGACAGATAACACACACACACACACGAACACATCCACATGCTTGGTGTGGTGGCTCTGTTTGGGGACTTCCTTCAGTAATCCCTCATAATCCATTGCTCTTAGCCACTGTATGCCTCTAAATCCCAGTTCTAAAAGCGAGAAATGAGCATGGTAATCTGGGTGGGAAACGCATCTGATTTTCACCCCTTTAAAGAAAGTCAGGGCTTACAAAAGCTTGCTGTGAATTATTTGCAAACACAAAAGATATTAATGACCAAAAATTAACAGACAATAATCATCAAACACCGTCTCTGGCATCTACATGCTTCAGTACACTTCTTTATGACAAACTGTGGCCTCATTTATGCAGTGGCAATATAATTAGTTTTGATAATACAGACTTTATTACATAGGACTTTATTTCTTATTTATGATAGATAGTGCATTTAACCAAGCTTGTATTTTCCTTAATCTCATTTCACAGCCACTGTATTTCTTAACATTTTAAAACACAATAGATGTGATATTAGGAAGTGGCACAGTGATGGATATGTAGCTCTGAATACTTTTGTGTTTGATTTCTTTGTCTGACAATTTAAATGTGACACGACACCAATCCAAGAGAAATGTCAGCTTTTCTCGCACGTAATGTTTTACATCAGGCTGTGCCGAAAATGTCAGTAGATTTTGAAGTTGACCTTCAAGAAGAAACAGCATTTGAAACCTGCGATTACAGCTGCCAATATTGTAATCATGCATAGACACTACACGCAAGTGGGAAAATACACGCCACGTGTACGCCCATGCACCGCACACGAGCCCGCGCGCACAAACACACAGTTTTAGGCTAATTTGGTGGATGAGATGAGACAGATGATATTACCTTGGCTGGGTTTCTGTTCAGTGGTTTGCACTGGCGTTTCAGGTGCACCTGTTCTTTGTGTGGAAAGTTGTAATTACCAGTGTTTACTGCCAGCCAGAGAGTAGCAGGGCAGCTTACATCTGCGTACACCCACGTTAGTATCCTGCCGACATGAACTACACACACATGATAGAGAAAACTCAGAAACAGTCTTACAACAGTTGGACACAATTTCTGGTATTTTTTGCCTGGTGAAGCCAGTATACATATACAGTATTCTCACGTGTGTCTTTATATTTTCCCTTCTAGTTCAACGAGAAGGCAGATGCAGTTGTTCCCTGCTTCAGGACTTTGGTCCAAGCCAATGTTCGGAACAAGAAGATCTTCAAGGAGGCCGTCATGCATATGCAAGCCAAAGGAACCACAGATTACAAGTCTGGCTTCACATTTGCCTTTGAACAGCTTCTCAATGTAAGAGCCAACAAGCTTTTTAGGGAAGGGCAACACAAGGGTGTTTGTTTGGCTGTGGAATTGTGTGACTCCAGAACGTCTTCCATAACATGCTGAAATTATGCACTACAGCTCCAGCATGTTACTATTATTACATCCTGTCAGGGTGACTGTCCAATCCAATTAATAAAAGGGAATTAACAGCAATAAAACAGTGCTGACAGTGAGGGCTACAGCTTTGTATAATGCATTTCCGGAGTTCTGTCGTTGTCGAAGGTTGGTCTGATAATAACTGCTGTTATTATGAGTCATGCTAACGTTTGCAGCAGCCAACACAGTTGTGACGTCTGTCAGCAGCAGGCATCCATGTACTCTCGACACAGGTGCTGCCTCAGCTCCGTATGCTGCTGTGTATTTTAAGAGGCTGCCACCCTAATGGGCTCTGATGGGATGATTGATGAGCGCAGCCCAGAGGAGATCAGCCACAGACACTTTATATTCCTCTGGTGGGCTTGGAGGCATAGAGCCAAGTGCCAGCTGCCCCCCCTCACCACCACCACCTCCCTTGCCAGAAGAATGAGAAATAAAAAGGCCCCTTTAATCGCTGTCTGTGGCAGACTCACTCCCATGACTGGTGGCACAAGCACAATAAAAATATGTAATTGTAGCAATATTATTTATCTTTATTAGAATCTTGTCAGATTGACATGCCGCTGGCCTGCATATCAATTGCAGCTGCTGTGCAGGCAGGCGGTGCAGTTTATATCAAATGAATGCTAAAAACTGTTGTGTGGCTATGAGCACATAGCGCTGAAATACTTGTGACACAATCAAATTTGATGCTAGAGTAATGTTGTATACTTTCAATTAAATTGTGATAATATGTGGAAGCCTGTGCTACCAACTAGGACATTTGTAAATTTATAATGACAAGCTAATAATAAAAGCTTAGAGGTTTATCGTACCTAAATGTAGGACAAAGAATAATAAAAAATACTATGTGAAAATGATATGTGTACAAAAAACAATATTTTTACCTCATTAATGGAGGGATACAAATTTCCAGGATGAATCCCCTTCTGTCTGCTCATTATATGATGCTTTAGTAGACTACTCTTAAACAGTAAATGTGGTAATTAATGTTAGAGTGACAAACATTTCCAGGATTTCCAGGGGAAAGAACTTAAACTTTCTCCATCCTAGACTGGAAATTGTCCAGGGTAACAACCTGTAATAAAAGAAAAACACATCGATCAGACATAACATTATGACCACTGATGGTAAAGTGAATAACACTTATTTTCTTGTTACCATGGCACCTGTCAGTAGGCGGGATATATTAAGCAGCAACTGAATGTTTTGTCCTCAAAGTTGATGAGTTAGAAGCAGGAAAAATGGACAAGCGTAAGGACATGAGTGACTTTGACAAGTGCCAAATGCCTAGACGACTGAGTCAGAAAATCTCCAAACATGCAGCTCTCGTGGGGTGTTCCTGGTCTGCAGCGGTCAGTACCTATCAATAGTGGTCCAAGGAAGGAAAAGCGGTAAACTGGCGACAGGATCACGGGCAGCCAAGGCTCACTGATGCAGGACCGAAGTCTGGCCCGTGTGGCCAATACAACGAGCTACTGCAGGTCAAATTGCTGAAATATTTCATGCTGGTTCTGATAGAAAGGTGTCACAACACACAGTCCATCGCAGTATGGGGCTGCACAGCCGCAGACCAGTCAGGGTGTGCGTTGCTTACCTGGGGAACACATGGCACCAGGATGCACAATATTACGCAGGCAGTCATAATGTTATGGCTGATGAGTGTATTCACACATATTTATAAACATAAGGGACAATACAGTATTGGGGTATTCAAGCTTTAATAATTAAGCTAAGGCTTGGTATGTGGCAACGAGTAGATCTTTACATCATCAGGGGCAGACTGCTACTAGATTATTAAAAGACATAGTGTCGAAAATAGAGGGGAAAAAAGAATAACGTATAAAAGTACAAACGTAAAGTGGAGTCCACAATGAAATAAAATAAAAGGGGAAACAATCCTATACACAGGAGATTCCTATTCACTCTAAATAGACACTTATGGAATAAGGTCCATGAAGAGATAACATCTTCCAAACTACATCTGCTGAGGTGAGATATATGGAGTGAATCCCATAAGATTTCGGCCATTGCATCTACCCAATCTTTAAAATCTGAAGATTTGCCTTTTTCAAATAAAATGATTCTGGAAGCTGAAATCATATTTGCAAATAATATCTGAAAATATACAGATATTTTGGGTATTTTGGGTATTCCCATATATAATACAGGAACGTTCATATTTCCATCCTATATCACAAGTAGTATCACAATATCAGGGACCTTTTATTACATGTTTAAATCCTGCTTATATGCTAAATAGCGGGGGGTTAAAGTTAAGTTTTTACCATAATATCTATGTAATATTCTGTGTAAACTCCCCCTTTTCTTCTTTGACATATTTACCACAGTCCTGAACTGTTTTAAATGATGTTCCAGCTTGATCACTTGTCTCTTTCCCACTCTTTCTTTGCTCTTCTCTCCTCCCTCCTCTCTCTTCACGTGCCACAGGAGAGCAGTGCCCCGAGGGCCAACTGCAATAAGATGATAATGATGTTTACAGATGGCGGAGAGGATCGTGCACAGGAAATCTTTGAGAAGTACAACTGGCCCAACAAAACGGTGAGTCTGTCCCCACAAGGCTTTTATCTATTCGTCTACTCGCTCTGCCAGCCCAAGAGACCATGCATGTCCAGAAACAGTCTTAGCAGGCCCCTCCCCATCTCCCACCGTATTCTGCTGACATTGTCTCATTAGTGTACAGGCAGTCGTGTTAGTTAGGCTGTTCGACACACCAAGCACTCCGGTCTTCACTTCCATTTTTTGGCTGTTTTGATTCTGGATTTTTCCTCTGATGATTCATCTCTTTTCTCTTTTCTTCAACTGTCCCCCTCCCTCTCTCTGTGTCCGCTTCCCTTTCTTTCTCTCTTCTTCTGTCTCTTTTGCTGTTTTGCTGCTGCTGGTGTTAACAGCTCTGACCTGCTGACTAATTAGCCACTTTATCATCAGAGCCTATAAAATTACAGCCAATAGATACTCAGTTTGTGTCTTTGTTCCAGTCTTGCTCCCGCCCCTTCCTTTCCCCATTTCACATTGCCACCAATATTTATTCTGATATCCATTACTATCTGGATCCCTCATGACTGCTGCTGTCATACAAGAATAATCTGCAGTTTGACAACTCTCTCACTGCAGTCTAGTGTTGGAGACAGATGTGTGAGCCGACTGGGAGGCTAATCTAATCATATTCAAGATTTGTGCATTTTAGTTATCACTTGACAGTAACCTCATGGCCATCCAGAAGGAGGTTCGTGTGGTATTGTTTTGCTCAAGTAGCTGTCTCTGCAGGGAGTTTGGTTTTCGGCTGTTTTTACTCTGGCTTTGCCTTAATATGATTCGTTCCTTTGCCCCTCCAGGTTCGTGTGTTCACCTTCTCTGTCGGTCAGCATAATTATGATGTCACCCCATTGCAGTGGATAGCTTGTGCCAATAAAGGTAAGTGAAAAAAGGTAAAATATAAAAGAGAACTATGGGTTCTGGCTGTCAGGAGGTGGTGCAGGCTGTCCATTAATTGCAGTGTTGGTGTTTTGATCCCTACTTCCTCGTGTCCATATTGCTCTCAATAGTGATTTTATTGATGGACACATTTTTCCATCATACTTAACATCCATTAGATTCACCTGCTATGGAAACCCCAATGATGTATTGCATTTGTTCTTGAAAACACCCATGCAGTACAAAACAACACAGTTATGGTCTTCTCACTGGTTTGAAGAGTGTATTGTTGAGTCTTTAGGCCTCGATCCATAACCAGATATAATCTGAGCAAAGATTGAAGATTAAAAAGAGTCTGAGATCATGTGTCATCACAAAGTTACAACACATTAGATGGGGAGGGAGGCAGCCTACACAATATACACACACAGAGGTACAGACAGTAAAGGTGATGTTGCTATAGACGAAATGAAAAAATGGTACAGATATTTATAGTAGTGTTAATGGTAACAGTCGTAGTGTTAATTATTATAATAACAATAATAACAATAGGACTAGTAACAATAGTCGTTGCGGCAGAGGGTGTCGAGCAGGAACACGGGGGCTGCAGGTGACCCGCAGCCACAGATCCAGACTCCACAGCTCCAGAGCCAGAAAACCTGCAGGAAGTGATAGGAGGAGAGAGGAGAGGGACGAGAAAGCACAAGACTACCAGAAAGGGGAGAAGTTGTGTTAGTAACATGCAATAATGGGATGAGGTTGCATACAGAGGGAGAGAAAGTAGAGGAGAGAGGAGCTCAGTGCATCATGGGAAATCCCCCGGCAGTCTAGGCCTATAGCAGCATAACTAAGGGATGGTTCAGGACTAACCTGAGCCAGCCCTAACTATAAGCTTTATCAAAGAGGAAGGTCTTAAGCCTACTCTTAAATGTGGAGATGGTGTCTGCTTCCTGAACCCAAACTGGAACCTGGTTCCACAGGAGAGGAGCTTGATAGCTGAACGCTCTGGCTCCCATTCTACATTTGGAGACTCTAGGAACCACAAGTAACCCTGCATTCTGGGAGCGCAGTGCTCTGGTGGGGTAGTAAGGTACTATGAGTTCTTTAAGATAAGATGGTGCCTGACCATTAAGAGCTTTGTAGGTAAGAAGAATGATTTTAAATTCTATTCTGGATTTTACTGGAAGCCAATGCAGAGAAGCTAAAACAGGAGAAATATGATCTCTTTTCCTGGTTCCTGTCAGAACACGTGCTGCAGCATTCTGGATCAGCTGAAGAGTCTTAATGGACTTTTTCGAGCAGCCTGATAATAAGGAATTGCAGTAATCCAGCCTAGAAGTAACAAATGCATGGACTAGTTTTTCTGCATCATTTTTAGACAGGATGTTCCAGATTTTCGCAATATTACGTAGGTGAAAAAAGGCGGTCCTTGAAATTTGCTTAATGTGAGACTTAAACGACATGTCCTGATCAAAGATAACTCCAAGATTCCTCACAGTGGTGCTGGAGGCCAGGGCGATCCCATCAAGGGAAACTATATCTTTAGATAATGCGTGACGGAGGTGCTTAGGCCCCAGAACAATAACTTCAGTTTTATCTGAGTTTAACATTAGAAAATTACAGGTCATCCAGGTTTTAACATCCTGAAGGCACATTTGAAGTTTAGCTAACTGATGAGTTTCATCTGGTTTGATCGATAGATATAACTGAGTATCATCTGCATAACAATGAAAGCTTATGGAATATTTCCTGATAATATTGCCTAAAGGAAGCATATATAAAGTGAAGAGGATTGGTCCGAGGACAGATCCTTGAGGAACTCCATGACTAACTTTGGCGTGCATGGAGGATTCATCGTTAACATGTACAAACTGAAATCGATCTGATAAATAGGACTTAAACCAGCTTAGAGCGGTTCCTTTAATGCCAATGAAATGTTCCAGTCTCTGCAATAGGATCTGATGGAAAATGGTATCAAATGCAGCACTAAGATCTAATAAAACCAGTACAGAGACAAGTCCTTTGTCTGATGCAATAAGGAGGTCGTTAGTAATTGTCACCAGTGCTGTCTCTGTGCTATGATGAGGTCTAAATCCTGACTGAAAATCCTCAAATAAACTATTGCTCTGTAGAAAGTCACACAGCTGTTTAGCAACTGCTTTCTCCAGGATCTTAGAGAGAAATGGAAGGTTAGATATAGGTCTATAGTTGGCTAAAACATCTGGATCAAGTTTGGGCTTTTTCAGAAGAGGTTTAATTACAGCTACTTTAAAGTACTGTGGTATATAGCCTGTTGATAGAGATAGATTGATCATAGGTGCAACAAAGCAACAAAGCTGGCTATGGTCAGAGGAAAAGGGCAGCAAAATACAGTTTTTCATCTTAAATTACTATTACAAAACAAATTACAATAAAATAAAATATTAAAACCTGCCTGCACTGTTACAAACCCATCATCACTTAGTTTTATCCAGGTGTCTTACTGTATGTGATGTTCAAATCAGTGTTTCATTCCTCTTAAGCGACCACAGTCCCTAAAATAACCCGGCAGACAGGCAGCCCTGCCCCTGACAGACATTCTGACAGCCCGTATGATTCCGCTGCTCTTCCTGTAAGCTCCTTCGTCTGCATGAATCTCATCTCGACCCAGCTCATTTAAGCCTAACTCAGACAGTTGTTTTGAACCGTTCTCTTCCTATCTTTTGTGGCTTGATCTTGTTTATTGGTGTTGCAGTTTATCTGAAGCTGCTCCTTTATGAGGCCTTTAGATGTCTGTATGAAGTCTCGGCTAACTGCTGAATAGCTTATTGTCAGTAGAGCAAAGTGCTTCAGAAGTATCTCCCCAGAAGTTGTTATTAATTAGCAGGAGGAGTCTGGTAGCAGGATGATTACCGTGCCATCCTCCCTGTCAGGCTGGGGAAAGTCCAGGATTACGCCTCTGTGCCAACATGCTCTTTGCTGTTCGCAACTGTATGATTACCATGGTACTAAAGTCTATGCCAACGTAAGACAATAGTGTTGACATACCAGCCTCAGCGGAGCTGTCGTCTCATATCTTCAGTACGTATTACTCTTTGGTATCTCACTCCAACAGAGCCAGCTCCGTGACACTTCCACAGGCCCTAACCCTTCGCCCATGACATACACACATGACAAGCAGAAGTTTCTCTCACACACACAAGCGCAAACACACAACTAGGCCACTTGGAGACGCCGGCTGTTGTCTCACTTGAGCTTCATTCCCATCTTAAGCAGAAACTAACCTCTCTGTGACTCTGAGGACAATGAAACCATTTCTCCATGCTCTCACACAGTGTAACAAAATCCAAAACAGAGCAGAGAGTTATCTTCAGAAGAAATGGGCGAATGGAGGATAAAAGCAGCAAATATGACATACTGCATTGGTGATCCTAATGTTGTTTACGATCCAAAACTGGGAATGATATATCCCATACATTCCTATGATGGTCATCTATAATGGAAGAAAAATCCCCAAACAAGATTGTTGGGTAGACTTATACAACGAAAATCTTAATAAGAAAATTATACTTTACCTACATAACAATTATTTTATGTAGAAAGCACCATTTAGTCAACAACATACCTGATATATTTTTATATCACTAGATATGACATATTATACTCTAGTCAAATAAACAACACCAAAAAGTCCCGAATGTTCTGTTGTAATTTTCTCAAAACAGACCTAAATTACTTTATAAATATTAGGGTGACATTTAAGGAAAACTAACTTCTCACACACAGAGGTATCATGTCAGTTAGTTTCACAAAGAAATTAGGTTATTGATTCAATTCATAATTTTCCCTCACACGGCAGACCTCTGTTGTGAACCTGCTCAGCACAGAGGAGATCCATATTTCAGTCTTACTTTTTAGTTACTGCGTGTGTTTTCCTCTCTTCAGCTCTCACCGAGCTTTGCCCTACAACCACAGACGCCACCTCTCTGGCACTCTGCCAAAAGCACTGGGACACTGCTCTGAACAAAACTTACAACAAATAGCTGTGCCCTGCGTGTGCGGACGTGAGCCACAGTCAGATTGTGTGTGCAGAGTGCACAATGTCTGCATGCTCGCGCGTGCAAATGAATGAGACAGAGAAGGCAAATTTCGACACAAAACACTGTGGCAAAGTGCATAATGTATCAAAGTAATGAGAGTCATCTCTGCCTTTTAACATTCCGGGAATGCTGTCTCCATTTTGCAGCTCTTTGTATAAACACTCATGGCTTTAATAACTTGGGGAGCGGCGTGGTTATTGACCCAGTCGGTCACTCTCCTCCATTCCTAATCAGCAGCAGCAGTGCCTGGGGCTCAGCATTCCCAATGAGCTATCGCATTTACATCCTACAGCCCAACCACAAGTGCGGAGAGGTCAGTGGCCACAAGCTCTGTCATGCCTGCTTGGCCCAACATCATCAGCTGGAGATGATGACATCACATGTACTTTATAACACAGATCGCTTTTTGTACACAGTGTGACTGTTTAACTCTTGAAAATGTAGACAGGAAGTGACATACAGTAGGCAGGCACCCTGGAGCAAGTTGGATACAGCAGCTTTCTGTTGGAATAGTCTGTTGATTCTCTCCTCTTAATCTTCAGGTTACTACTTTGAAATTCCATCGATTGGAGCCATCAGAATCAACACGCAGGTAAGAAATATGTAGCTACTAAATACACCTATATAAATCCACCAGAAAACTGAAATTTTAAGCCTAGAGCTTGTCGGTTTTAGCTATATAATTATACAGATTGTAGATTTTCAGTATTCCATCATAAAAGGACAGAAACTGGATGACTACAGAAATCTTTCTATGATAATGTCTCTGGATGCTCTGAAGTTTCAGACCTCTTTCGCTCTGTCTTTCACACACACAAACCTCTCAAACCCAGGGCCCTGCCACCCCTTACACTTGCTTGAGCCACTATGAGCTTCTAGGAAGCCCTTGGGATAACCTCATTCGAACTGTAGAAATTGACTCTGTTGACTCCTCCCCTTCTCCCCCCCCCCAGGCCCTAGTGAGCAATCAAGCCCCATAATATACTGTCAGCTATTCTGTTACCTCTGGCATATTTATATTCTAAGAACTGCCACTTACTCTTAATAGGTTTTCTTTAGGTGGGTGAGTACAGCTTTATGTATAGGCCCAGAATACACATTATTTAATCTGCCCTTCAACATCACACACTCATCACGTAGTCTCACTTGACTAACATGGTAACATTCAAATAACAGATGGACCACAGATGGCCAAAGTATTATTATTCATACCGTCCTGAGTCATGGGATCATGTATGCTGCTGGAGTCTATATGGCTCTAGTTCCTTTGGACCACATATCTCCAGTTGCTGACTTTTCTTAGTTTCCTAGATTGTTCCAGCCAGGCGGAAAATTTCCCCCATATCCCATGAAAAGGTCTGGCTGTCATTGTCCTGATGGAATACCTCCCTGTGGCGCGTTAAACTGGACTTTTATTGAGCTAATAATAGAATAGGTTACGCCTGTCAGCACCTCACTGTTCAGGCGATGGAAAAACAAACGGTCAAAAGCATAATACTGAAATAGCTGTGTGCTTATACAGGGCGCCCCTTTTGTGTATCAAAGAAAGGTACAAGGGTCAGAAACCTGTGATGGTGTTTCCCTTTTCGCTACAAAATGGATGGAAATTTGTCATCATGTAGAAACGGCTAATGCTTCTAAACTAACGTTTGACCCAGAGAGAGCTGCTGCCTTTCACTGATCCTGTTTTTACATATTGAATATGCTGATACAGAAAGGCAGACATTTGGTATTATAACTCTCCGAATTCCTGAATATGATACTGAGGAGGAATTTGGAACTTTTATAAATTGGCAGAATTATACAGTCTGTTTATTTAGACAGTAATTTAGGTATCTGGTCTTTATAATAACAGGGCACTGAAGGCGATTGTCCTGTCCCTGGCAGGCTTATTTTCCCCTTCCAAATGGTGTTGTTGCTTAATATGTCATGAGGTCACTCACTCAATAATTTTACCTAATTTTGACACATCAGCTGTTGTGCGAGGTGACTCCTGAGAACAAAAAGAATATAGTGAAGATGATGTATTACTAGTAGACTTAACCCCTCACCTCTATTCACAATCGCTGTGGGACATTCTCACAGAGCCGGCGATGACAGTAAAGCCTCTAGGAGAATGGCCTGTTTGCACATCGTGCCATTGACACCCTTAATGTGTTTTTAATAGCTCCTTCATAATGATGAAAAACGGCCTTGTGTGTCTCAGAACTGGAGGCTTTATGGCTCTGCAGGACCGGGATGCTGCTGCTGGTGGCCCACTGGTTTATGTGGTGACAGAGAGGAGGCCGGTCAGGGTCTTATAGTTTTATGACAGATGAACGCTGGCTCTTCCAGCACTCTGCTTTTAACGCCTGTACATGACAAGCACTATAAACGTCTGTTTGATTGTGTGTTTGTTGTGTGTGTGTTTGTGCGCGGTCTTAGCAGCATGTGTGTTTTTGCTGTCGCAGGAGTACCTGGATGTCCTGGGTCGCCCCATGGTGCTGGCTGGACCTAGAGCCAAGCAGGTGCAGTGGACAAACGTCTACCAGGATGCTCTGGTGAGAGGGACATTTTATATCATTAACCCTTACAGTAACCTTTGGTAGTGTTTTCAGAATATTTGTTCTGCAGACTAATGCAACTTTCTAATTCTGTATTTCATTATTTACTTCATCTGCTGCTTCACATGTGTAAATCACTAGCGACTATTAAAGATATTTGGGCAAATGACCTCTTAAATTTGTCCAACAGTTTCTGTTACTCTGTTTTTAAGGATAGTACAAAACGATCTTATCACAGTTTATTATTCCTAAAGACAAAATCCTGTGGGTAGTTGTTTTTTTTTATTTTTTATTTATATTTCAGTTGATTTATTTGAAGCTTCTTGTGGTTATTTGTTTGGATTATAAATTATGCAATATGTAAAGAACATTTAAAACATAATAAAACTTTTTTTAAATATGTTTCACCAGGGTTTGGGCCTTGTCATCACGGGGACGATGCCAGTCTTTAACCTCACTGCTGACACTGTGAGCTCTCAGGTAAAAATAAACACAGCAATACAAGATATGGCGCTTAAAATAGCTGGACTTTTTTCACATACACAGCATGCAGTATGACTCATGCCGCAGCCCATCCTTTGTATTAATGAGTCTTTACCTTTATCATTATGTAAGAACAATGTTTTCATTGTCATTCATAGGCTAAGGCTACACGTGTATAAGGTTATTATAACAGAGACACGAGTTGGAGTAGCAGGAGGGTTTACTTTTTCGTCTCTTTGCTGTTGGTGACCATCATCAATCATTTTTCAACTGCATCCACCCAGCTGATGCTCTTCCAGGCAACACCTCCCCCTTGAGGTGACAACGGACATCGCAACCACCCATCTGTAGTATCTATTATCATCCAGAGAGCATAGACACATCCAGCTTTCAGGATGCATGACCAAAGTATTTACTCTGAGCTTATCACACAGGCTTAAAGCTGTGACGCTGCCGCAGACCGACTGAGTTTAAGATACACTGTAAAATTATGGACTAATCAGATTGCACAAAAAAGTGATAAAGATGGCATGGAGAGGTTGTTAGTAATCTCACGGCACAGCTACCAGCTCTCTGTGATTCTCCAATGCCAGTGCTTCTGTGGATAATAATTACTTTTTATGTTCTTCCTACAGAATCAGCTCATCCTCGGAGTCATGGGAGTAGATATTGCAATCAACGAAATCAAAAAGAAGACACCTACATACAGAGTGAGTATGTTGTACACTCAGTATCACTTTCATATCACTTTAACTTAGGTGATTATTGAATCCCATCTCCATTCACTCTTTTTCTGTACAGCTTGGAGCCAATGGCTACACTTTTGCCATCGACCCAAATGGCTACGTGCTGCTGCATCCCAACCTGCGACCCAAAGTAGGTTCAACTACGATCATTGCCCTGCATGTGATGGGTTTACGTGTTAGTGATTCTGAAGCTAAATTTGGACGTTATTTCTACTGACTGATGTTACCCACCCACCCCACCCCCCGCTTCCTCTGCTTTCTCTCTCTATTCAGATCATTAACTTCAGGGAGCCTGTCACTCTGGACTTTCTGGATGCAGAGCTGGAAGACAGCAACAAGGAGGAGGTAAAAAACAAGCAAACAACCTCTCTGAAACATCATCATTACTATGAACTTAATTCGTGTTTCCTTTAATCATTTTATTTGTCACTTATCTTTCCCTTTCGTTGTATCCGTATGCCTTCTCACGCTGCATCCTCTCTCTCTTTCTCTCTGTCTCGCTCGCTTGCTCACTCGCTTCCTTTTCAGATCCGTCGACAGATGATTGATGGCAAATCAGGGCAAAGGAAAATCAAGACGCTCATTAAGTCAGTTGATGAGGCAAGTCATCAATATATGAGACTCAATCATGATCCAAAGTAGCACCTTCCTGGAAGGTGTTGTAATGAATCTGAATCACTCAGTATGTTTAGGATCTGTTGTTTCACTCCAATTATGGGAAGAGACGTGCTGAGGATCTGACGGTGTAACTTATCAGAGTATCTTTGTGGTCGTCAACAGAGGTACATCGACGAGGCCATTCGGACGTACACATGGACGCCTGTGGAGGGTACAGATTACAGGTATGTTTGAAATCAAGCCTGCATCAGCTGACCTCAGACCAAAAGGTTGCGCAACTTGAACCTGTGAGTGAAGTCCAACTTTGATATTTTTCTGTCAACCAGCAGTGTTTGTTAACTGTAGCTGCCACTATTCCACACTTGGAGCAGACTTAACCTATCACTGAATAAAGGCAACTTCCTAATTTGCCTCCTGCATTTGCATTAAGTTCATCTGTATCACCCATATTAAAGAACCATTTTATAAACCATTTTTTATTCTCTCATAAAAAAGTCTTCAACAGCACTCTAAGCATAAAATAATTGCATATTTTATTCATCTCAAAACTTGAGGTTGCATCGTAATGACACTTACTCCTGGCCACACTTGGCAAATTACAGTTTATGATATTTAATAGTTTTACAAATGCCTGATGTGTGTTTTTTATTACATCTGCTGGCAGCGTGCCTGGTCCTGGCTGAGTCCATATGAGGCTTTCTCTGCACAATTCTATTAATATTCAACTCAAAGGGAGATTCCAGTGTATTTAACAATCCTCGTGTGTCACTGTTGTGGGCTGCAACAGTCAAATGTAACTCTAACCAGACATTCGAAGCTCTACTCTGTCATGCTTCCTACACTTTAGAGTTTAGAGCAGCACATAGGACCTTCTTTGATCATAAAATTGGTGATGTCGGGTATTTCTTTAAATCTAAATTAGCTGTGTATTATAGATAGTCGACTGCAGCTGTGGCTCAGTCTGAACCTGATACTGTCACAGCCTGATTTTCTATCTGTTCCAATTAATCCTCTTACTGAGTTATATTTTAGCTTTGTATGGCACCACAGATTAAGAGATGGGACATGTATTTCTGTTTTCCTCTTTAATTTCTATCTTTGGTAGAAGAGTAAATATTTAGTAACATAGAGCATTATGTAGATCAAACTAAGATGCCATAGTGAGGACATGTGAAGTCACTTGACTTCAACAGAAACTAAAACTCAAAGCTGCTCTGATCAATACTTATATCTCATATTAACAACTTATCAAATGGCTACATGTAATATAAAGGAGATCCTCACACTGACAAACTCATCTTCTCTCCAGTTCTTTTATAGCATCTTTCAGCTCACTGTTTTGGTATTCCAAAACCCTCAAATTTACAATTTTAGTTCACTGTCTGGATTGGGGACTTGAACTTCTTGGAAAACAGTGACTGACATCATACTGCACTAGTGGGTCTAACTAGAAAAGTACAACCTAGGAAGTCTTCACTCAGTCCCTCCTTTCTGTCTGTCCTATTAAATGAAACTGCCCCACTGTGCATAATTAATAGCCCATCGGTTTATACAATACTTAAAGGTACCGTGTGCGGAGCAAGCTAGCTTGCTTAGCTAGATGCATCTGTAATTCACGTTAACTGTCATTTTAACAGGGCTGATAATTTTGTCTAGCAAACAACAATCTTAAAACTAAATGTTCTCACCACCTAATAAGCTTTTACAGTTTACACAGTGCCATGGGTACTAGTCACTCTAGCCTGATTGACAGGTCGCCATGGTAACGACTTGTTATGGGACCATAATTTACTAAATGAACATCATGTTGTATTGAAGAAGACCTGAAACTAACGACTGAGACCCTCAGTAGGAAAGTGTTTACTAAGGTAATACATCAGCTAAGAAGTAGGGTCATTTTACCATTATTTCTAATGGAGCCACACTTCTTTTTGCAACCAGAAGAGTCGCCCCCTGCTGGCTGTTCGATAGAATGCAGGTTTAAGGGACTTGCGCATTGGCTTTGTGTATCAGACCAGAAGCTTGCCACTTATTCTGGTGTGAAAATGAAAGACATCTCATGAGTAATGACATCATTTCCTCTTTAAACTGGTTGCGTCTGTGAGCATGCCCGACTGCATGTTGTTTGTATGTTGGAGACTTTATATGTGCATTCACAACGTGTTCCTGATTTTCTGCGTCTGCCTCGTTACCTCAGTCTAGGGTTGGTGCTGCCCACATATAGTGAGAACCACATCAAGGCCAACCTGAGTGACCAGATCCTTCAGGTGCAGTGTAAGTACCCGGGAATACCCAGCATCCTTCACTCTTTGTCTCTCTTTCCACTCTTTCCTCCTCTCTCTCTGTCTCTCTCTCTCTCCCAAGTATGACCTTATGCTCTTATTCAGTCCTTCCTCCCGGGTCTCCAACATCGTCATAGGGAGTGTCCAAGCGGAGTCGCCTGCCCCACCCCCTTCCCTTCTCCCCCCATCTCTACGCTCTTTGATAGGCAGGATCATACCTGAGTCCCCCGACTCCTGTACTGCCCCCTGTTCCCTCCTGTCTTCATGCTGTGCTGTAAAATGGTGATGTTTTTTCTTCACACTGGCTGAAGAAAAAAATAACTGAACTGACAGAAAGGTGAAAGCTGTGGTTTTACTGTGTTACTCAGGTGAAAATAATGGTGACCTTTGTGCTATTATTTTTTTTACCAAATGCTCTCGCCTCTTCTCAACCAAGTAATGATTCTGAAGCATCTGTGTTCAAAGTATTTGATGTTCTGAAAAACTGTGAAAACATGCATGCTTTTCACTCCTTATGATGAGTTTTATGATTTTGGGAGTTTTCCTTCTGTTATGTGTGTGAGGTTTGTTTTTTGTTTTTTGGATTGTATGAAATGTTTCTCGGCTTTGGAATCATTCAGTCTATAAACTCCCACACGGCCCGGGTTCAGGGCATGTCAAATGTGGGAGTTTGGGTTTTTGTGGGTCTGAATGGGGACACATGTTGTCTCTCTCATTTTATTCTTTGTCCAGACCCCGTTATTCCCCTCTTTTCCTGTTTCATTTGATTTCATTTTTGTTCGGCCATGGTCACAATTACTGGTTTTGTCTTTGCTGTTTTCCTTTCCTGGACTTCCCAGTTTTTAGTTCCTTTCTTCCATTGGTTTTCCGTTTCCTCGTTTGCTCTTGCAAATAAGATGTTTGCTCTTCATTTCTTTTTCTCTCTTGTCTTGTTTGACTTAAATTGGTTTCTTTCTTTAAAGAAAACAATATTTTTATTCAAACAGTAATTGAATAAAATATTGTCTGTGATCCCCCCCTTCCCACCCGATTCCCTGTTTCTTTTCTTGCTCACTCCTTCTCTGATGGATCCACACAGTGCTAAACACCAAGGGCAAGTATACTCCATATTGGTCCACGTTCCCTACCTTTACTTCCTTCTTCCTACCGCTGCCTCCTTCCCACACCTCTTGTCCTGAACCTCTTCCTGCTGCCCCCTCCTCCCCCACCCTCACCTGTCCCAGCCTGCTTGCCTCTGTTCTTGCCCGTCTTGCCTTCAGGACTTCCTCCCTTTTTCCTCTTTTTCCTCCTCCTTTCCCTCCTTTTATCCTTCCTTCTCCTCTTCACCCTCTTGCTGCAGCTCAGATCCCACATCTCTCACGATGGCTCCTCCGGTCCCAAACCTCACCCTCCTCCTCACGTATCCGCTGCTACAGAAGCAAAAAAAAACAAAACACCTATTGCATCTGAGGAAGACAGATATTCATGTTCTCTGTTAAAACTTGTCTTTTGCCCCCCCCCCCCACCCCCCTCCCCCTCCCTCCTAATACTTTTCCTTATGTTGATATCTCCAAATGGGTTGTGTCTGCCTCCTTTCTATTTCTCTCTGTCTCTCTCTTCTTTCACTTTCTTCTTATTTTCTTTGACCGTATTTCTCTCTTTTCCCCTCTTTTTGAACCTCTCTCTCTCACTCTCTCTCTCTCTCTCTCTCTCTCTCTCTCTGTCTGTGTCTACTTCTTACAGTGTCGTTAGTTGATAAATGTCTTAACTAATTCTCAGACTAGAGCTCAGGTATTGACAGATTATACATTTTAAAAATGACTCCCTATAATTGGTGCAATAGCTAGATCAATTTAGAGCATATTGAGCTCCACGTAAAGTAAAAGATTTATAATTATTGCCGTAACATTTTCATACTGTAGAAAATAAACACACTAATCTAAATATATTAATGTTGTAGTGTTACACCTTTGCTATGAATGTATTTGCACATACATATCATGTAAGTACTGTTATTTATTTATAGAAGAGTAAATAGGGATTTCTTGTTGTCATAATATTTTAACATAGCTAGATTTTATTTATCACCATATTTAAAAAAAATCTCTTTGTTAGTGGTAGTATCTCGTCTATAACTGGAGACGTTGCAGCCTGCAGACAGACCCTTCAGGGCTGAGCTGTGTCCTGCCCACCCAGGTCCTCCCATGTTGTCAGGTGTCAGGGTGCCGCTCGGCGCTGCGCCTGACTCCTGTGTCGTCCCTCTGTACTCCCTGTCTCCATCAGCTTGTCTCCCTCCCTCCTCACCCCTCAGTCTGCCAGGGACACGGCCCAACCCTTCCTCAGTAAACCTGACCCCGGATGTGCACGGCATTGTGGGCGGAAAACTACCTGGGCACTCTATTTTAGCTCTAAAATGAAAACATTTCATCCCTCTGCTGTACGCAGTTACAGGTCACGGCATAATGAGAAAATAACACGTTGGATTTGTCGCAGACTCACGTGTTGAGGCTTTAATGATGGTTGATATTTTGTGCTCTGTTCTGTCTGTGCTAGATGAAATGAAGTTGCCCTTTCGACATGCCCTTCACAATGCAATGCATTTCCTCTGATTATGTGTCTCTCTGAGCCCTCTCCCCTGCCAGTCTGAGGGGTGACCACTTCCATCCCCTGCAATAGTTGGCCATGTTGATGCCTGCCTGATCTTAAGCACTCATTGTGTTTCATCTGTCTGAGAACTTGCTTCCTGACACATCACGTCTTGCAAGTCAGTTCTCAGACATCAAAAATATGTTAAATTGGAACCATACAAATCAGAAAATGTTGTTGCAAAGTTATAAACAAAAAAGAAAAAAAAGAAGGTGTGAGTGTTTATGAAACTAAAGTCATCCATTGAGAGTCAGGTTCTATTTTAGGCACCATATTGGCTAACGCTAGTGTTCCCATGATACCTCAGTGTTGCTATGGTAAACTCCCTCCTGCGTCCCTACACCTCTGAAGAACAGCTGCTGTTTACCCACAACTCCCCACTGCTCTGCCCACCGCTCTTCCCGGATAATCTTCCCTTTTCTGTTGCAGATTTTGAATCACTGCTGCCAAACAGTTTTGAGTCTGAAGGACATGTATTCATTGCTCCCAGGTAGCCCTGTGTGTGAATGCCGTCGTTGATGGTCATCAGTTTTTGGTCTTGTCTTCATGTCTTTCGATGCACTATTGTCATTTTGTTGTTGTTATTATTGTTGTTTTGGCGCCACACCTGTATCTGTCATCTGCTTTCTTGAATGATGCATTTTGTGATGTAGAGTTGCTGTGTGGGAGTGATTGGTTTCCTTCATTTATTTTTCATTTTGATTGGTGTGTTACCTTCTAGTGACACATTTGAGAAAGTTATAAAATTCATCATAACCATATTATATGATTTTTTTTTTTTGCATTTCACCTCATTAGTTACTTTCATTACAACAAATTTGGGATGCCACATCAAATCTCGTTTGCATGAAGCTACTGTGGTGCAGTATGTTTTTACTCCACAGATACAATTAGGGGTTATTGCTTTGGTTGTACAATGTAATGTAAAAAATAAAATGGATATTGGGCAACAAAATGTGTATCTAGAAAAAAAAGCAACAATATATATGAAAAAATGACTGATATTCTCTTTGCATGTGGTGTTTCGTTATCAGCCCCTCATGGCCTCCAGCTGCAGCCTGAATTCTGAAATACACTGATAAAATCACTCTTTCATTGTGACGCCCACGCTCTGCTCTCCACATTTCATTTTGATTGACAGCCTTCTTAACATATTGGAATTGAAGCTTTAAGACACGCATGCTGCACACGATAGCATCAACTAACACATAAATGGATTCATGCATCCCCACTTTGTGCTGTGTGTCCCTCTTTAAGGGACAAATAGGGCAATAAGAGTGCAAACTGCATAAACGTGTATGTTTTTAACCTCCTTTTCTCTGCGTTAAAACGCTTTTTCTGTTCCTCAGGGAGTACTGCAATGATCTGGAGCTGTCCAACAACAACACCGAGTTCCTGCTCAACTTCATCGCTCTCATGGAGAAGGTGACACCGGACTCCAAACAATGTGAGTTTCATTTATTTTCACTCAAGCACAACAGAAGCGTTTACTTTAATGGTTGAGGTTGGCAATATTATATATTTTCCTTATTATCAACAAATCCCACAAAAGATCCATGAAAAAGCCCAAACCAACAATGAATGTATCTTCCTAGGAAAGTATTGACTGTGTACCCAAAGCCTGATACAGTACAATATCCTGCTGTAAATACTTACTACAGCACCAAATGTATTAATCTACAGATTAAAGTCCGCATCAAATATTTGCTTCTTTTACATAACATTTCATAAAATCTATTTTATATTTGTTTTTGTTTTTTAATTAAACCAATTTTAAAGATCTTCTGCAGGCACTAAAGTGCTTAGGGCTGGGATTAAGAGACAGAGAGTTTGTTTGGTTTTTAACACCTTTAACCTTTAAAACTTAAATCGCTAAGAAAAACAAAACAAACATACATGTACAAAACATGACTGATTATTAGCATCAGTTATTATTTCTTCAGTGTCAAATGTGATAAAGCAAAATGATAACAGTCAGGGTGCATGATCATCAAAAATGGATGTATTTCAATTTGGCCACCATCTGTGCCAAAACCAAGCTTGTTCAGAGACACAGTGAGTTTCATAGATTTACCTGCCCTTACTCTAATCATGAGTGAGTTTTAGAAATCCTCTCTTAAGTTGGTGCAGGGTTTTTTTCTGGTTGCTGGAAAATCCAATATGTTCAGGGAAGAGAAATCCATATCTGATGTGGACGTAACTGATATTCAGATAGTTCTAATTTATTATGTTTGCCTAATCAACATTTAGGTGACAATTTGCTCCTTCATAACCTGATTCTGGACACCGGCATCATAAGGCAGCTGGTCGAGAAAGTGTGGAAGAATAAAGACTTGAATACGTGAGTACTAATGCCGAGGGAACTGCATCTTTAAATGGAGAAAGATTTAGATTTGATTCCTGTCTCTTTTCTCCATCCTGACATTTAGATATGGCTTTCTGGCCGTGTTTGCTGCAACAGACGGAGGTGTAACAAGAGTGTTTCCGAACAAGTAAGTGCTCTCCTCGTCGAGGCTGTATGTGTGGACTGCAGCTTCTCTGTAATTCTGTCATGTTTCTCACTTAATTCTGTTTTTAAAGTAGTAGTAAGTCTTGGGAAGTCTTACATATACAGGTAGTATAGCAGGAGACGTCAGAGATTTACAGCCCTTTATGTGCTCTTAAATCTCAGGGCGTCAGAAACCTGGGAGGAAGATCCTGAGCCGTTTAATGCCAGCTATTACCGCCGCAGTCTGGACAACAAGGGCTACATCTTCCGAGCTCCTTATCGAACAGGTGAAGGATGCTCTTGGTCCTGGGTTATATATCTCACACTGAGTCTTATAATGTGTTGTGGCTCTTTGTTAACAACCCCCCCCCCCCCGGCTTGTTTCTCTATTTGTTTCCCTATTTGTTTCCCTCTTCAAGCCAGGGACGACCTTCTGAACCCAGAGAACGACACCATAGGAATCCTGGTCAGCACGGCGGTGGAGATCACAGTGGGAGGGAAGACCATCAAACCTGCAGGTGGGTTTAGATCTGAAAGAGGAGGCAGTCGTCTTTATGATGATAGAGGTTGAAGAAATTGTTTCAGAGCAAGGTTCAGATTGTGTTTGTATTTCTTGTTACATTGTGTAAATATCCGCACTCTGCATCTATTTGTGGGGCCTCTTATGTGCATTTGTCTTTTGAATCTTTCTTAATGAATCTTTTCCTCTCAGTGGTTGGAGTGAAACTAGACCTCGAAGCCTGGACGGATAAGTTCAAGATTCTTGCCAGCAACCATACAGACAACCGTCAAGGACAAAATACGGTATATTGTTTAAAAGCTTAAGTCTTGAGTAGTATTTCCAAGATGTTCAGCTGCTAACTTTGTTTTTTCTCTGTGGCAGTGTGGACCAAACAGGGGCTGTGAAATGGACTGCGAAGCCAACAGTGAGGTATGCATTTCTGCAGATTTTTAATGAGCTTCCGTATTCAGCTCAGCATCATGTATCATAAATTAGCACTGTACATTTTGTGTTTCTAATTAACAGCCCATGTTTGCCTGTTCTGTGTGTAGGACCTCCTGTGTTATTTAATAGATGACGGTGGATTCCTAATCATGTCTAATCAGAAGGATGACTGGAACAAGGTAAAGTTAACACATTTTCACAATGACCATGATTTCTTACTCTTCTTTACGCTCAGCTTGACCAGTGATTCTTGTTCTCCACAGGTGGGCATGTTCTTCAGTGAGGTCGATCCCTTCTTGATGTACGCCCTCTACAACAATTCCTTCTACAACCGCAAGCAGTCATTTGACTACCAGTCTGTGTGCGAACGGGTGCCCAACAGTGAAGCTGGAGCTGCACCCAGAGGAGTCTTCGTGGTAAGAACAAAAACTTCCAACACCAGGGAGAGGATGAGATTTAATAAATTAAAACAGTAGACTGGATGATAATGATCTGATTTAATGGCATACAGAAAGATATGACCGATATGACGTAAATATTTTTCTCTTTTCGTCTGAATCTGCAGCCCACAATTGCAGATTTTCTAAACCTAGCGTGGTGGACATCAGCAGCTGCATGGTGAGAGTCCTCAAGCTCGAATGTTCATTCAGTACACACATACTAAACCTGAAGAAAGAGATTTGGTGAATACTCCTAGTACACGCAAAAAACATTATTCTAACTTATTCCTAAACCCCGTATTCACATCTCCTGTCTTACAGGTCCTTGTTTCAGCAGTTTATATATGGACTGGCTTATCACAGTTGGTTTGTCACAGGTGGGTGCAAACAAGACACAATAATTAAAGTAATATTATCTTGGTGTTTTACATGACTGCATGTTAAGTTTAAAGGAACCGAAACATTTTGGGAAATACGCCCATTTGATTTTTTGCCAAGAGTTAGATGAGAAGCTCGATACTACTCTCATGTCATGTGTGTTTTTATGAAGCTAAAGCAAGGAGGCGTGTAGCCTAGCTTAGCACAGGGGGATACAGCTAGCCTGGGTCTCTCCAAAATTCAAAAATACACCTACTAGCACCTCTAAGGTCACTAATTAACACCTTGTAACTTGTTTGTTTAATACTTAAGCAATTAGAAATGTAACAACAGTTTGTTGTTACATTTCCCGAACTATTTCTGAGCACTTCAAATTAAAATGGAGTTATGAGCCAAGACTCTTAAAGTGCACTAATGGTTAAATGAGATATGTATCGTTGTTTAAAGTGCTACGGTTTCTTGGGAAATTTGTTAGTTGTTCCACTTTTCCATCCTCGGCCTCAAACTGTAAACATAAACAATGTGAGGAAATGATGAAGGAGAGAGATTTTCCAGCTTTTTCTAGGCCGAGTGTAGACGTACATCTTTGTAATCCCATTTTTAGAATCAGATCTTTTAAATCTGACACGTGTTACACTCATGTCTTTTTGCTCTGATGATGCTGCAGATGAGGTGGATGCAGAAGGATTCGACTTAAAAGAGCGGAGTTGTGTAATGATCCAGACCCAGTTCTACTTAAGTAATCTCAGCAGTTCCTACAACATACTGCAAGACTGTGGCAACTGCTCCAGGTCTGTACACATGGTGAAAATACACACAATATGTGCTCACACATACACACCACAAAGAATCGTAATGTGACAGGGGCACAGTTAGCGAGACAGATTCATCTTTCTGTTGGAGCTAATAAACTCTGCTGATGATTAAACCGTATCCGCTTTAATGAAACGGTCATATCTTTGGTTAAATGAGCCTTATAAAACTTGTCTCATGAATCTCGCTGATCCATTAGTAAATGAGCCTGTGATGTAAGCGAGCAGAGGGGGGTTGTTGACAGAGTTGTCTCTCTCTCTGCAGGCTGTTTCATGCCAAGAGGATAAACAACACCAATTTGCTGTTTGTGGTGGCAGAGAAGATCCCATGCAACACCTGCGAGATAGAGAAGCTGTCCCAGGAGGAGGAGGAGTGTATCCTTGTTCTACATTGTACACCAGCTGGCAAAGAACAAGACACACTCTCTAATCGCTTGATTCTATCTCCTGATCAAACATACCTGTGGAAACACGGTGTTTCAAAATTCATTATGTTATTCAAGGTTATTTTTTATGATGGTGTGTGTGTGTGTGGGGAGGGGGGTGTGCATGTGGGTGGTGAAACACTGAAAAAAAAGCAGACATCCAAAAGATTTTAAAATTCCTTAATTCAGTAAATTTTCAGACAAGGAAGAAAATCCATGTGAAGAAATGACTGTGGCACGCTATCGAAAAGGGCCCTCCACCTGCTTTGACAACAACGTCTCTGTAAGATTTTCAGATATCAATAGGCAAAGTTATTCAAATAACTAAAAATGTAATTATATAAAAAATTTAATTATCGGTAACTATAATGTTCATTGAATAGATTCTGATAAAACAAGTGAGGTAAGGATAGCAAATAGGACACAAGTGTTGGGATAGGTTCACATTTTTCCAAGTCAGAAATGATTCACGCATACAGGTCTGGCTGGGTGATGAGTAATGCTGTAATATTATAATGTTGTCATCCCGTCTAAATCAATGTTTCTACAGCAAGCTGTAATTAAAACCAGAAAACAAGTTTGACTGAAACATAAAGAGTTTGATTTCATGTAATGTAACAGTTAAACACAGTTCATTACTTGGAAAATCAGGCCAATTATTTTATGTGATTTTATGTGACATTAGCTATATTGTGATACTGACACTAGCCTTACTAACATCATCATGAAAGTTCCAGCATTATCAGACAGCTTTTAGTCACACGCTGTGATGTTTATGACAACTGTTCGACATGTTGGGAAATCGCTCATTCGCTTTATTGTCGAGAATTAGATGAGGAGATTGATGCCACTCTCGAGTCTTGTTGTCGCAGTGAGGTTGCAACCAAAAAAGACTCCAGGAAGTCACGATTGTCTGTGTCCGAAATCACTCACAATATTCTACATAGTGCTATATATTTACTGGCCGCCATTTATTTTGTCATTATTATTTATTGGTGTGTAAATGTCTCCACTATGTGGTGCACGTAGAGTTATATGTTCACTTCTTTCTAGTAACAATCCCAGTAAGCAAACTCCGCATTGTATGGATACTAAAATTACAGTTGCTGATACGGTAAGTAAGTTTTTGAAATCGATTAGTAATAATCGTTTATTTATTTATTTAAGGAGTAGTGAATGAGTGAACAAGGGAGTGATTTTGGACTCAGCCATAGTTCAGCCCATAGGTTTAACCCCAATTAAAACTGCGAGTTGTCGTTTTTACTTTGTTTTTTGCACAGATTAAACAAATGAGATTTCACATGTTAATTAGGGAGGGTGGTTGGTGGATTTTGTTACCTTTAGACAGAGCCATGTTAACTGTTTCCAGACTGCTAAGCTAAATTGATCACACATATGAGAGTGGTATTAATCTATCTAATCTAACTCTCAGCAAGATAGCGAATAAAAGTGTCGAGCTGTTAACTTAAACAGTCCACACCTCAAGTGTGAACTGGAGAGATGATGTCCACTTTCTTCTGAGCAGTTTCTTTCTAAACCAAAAGCTTGATCATGTGGATGGACAGAGAATGAAACAAAAGTGTTTAATATATTTAGTTTAGATATAGTTGACAAACTGTATGTAGCAAAACATATGGAATAAAAAAATGTTTTCCATCAGCATGCAGTAATGAAAAAACTCAGAGCTTAAAGCTACGGTTTTCCCTCTGCAGGAGAACACGTCAGACTGTGGACGAGGATACTCCTTCCGTCCGTCCCTCTACACCTTACTGCTCATTCAGCTGCTTCTGCTGTATCCGGCCTTCAGCCCCCACATTCACTCTCTTCTACATTAATTCCATTTTCCTCCACTTCTGCTCCCAAGCTTGTTTCCCGACCTAAAACCGTCTGACCCAAACCCAACGCCCCTAAGCCCCTCTCCCTGATATAGTCATAGGTAATAATGGGACTTGCCATCACAGCAAGTTGGAAGCCCTGAGTGCCCCGCTACCCAGCTCGCTTCAGTCCGTGTCGCTTAGTGACAACTGCCGGACGTTTGTGTCCTCAGCCAGTTATTCTTCATCTGCAGGAAGAGTGGGTGGACCACCTGGATCATCCGACTCCCGCCCCCCCCCCCTACCCCGCCCAGCCACCCACCTCCAACCAAACAGAGAAGGAAGAGGAAAGAGGACAGATCGACGTTCTCCACAAAGACCTCCTGCCTCACACAGACTGGAGAGCTGAGGTCGTCTGTCCGCCAACGCCTCTGTTTGTCAGACAGACGGTGGGACTTCTCCTCCTTCTTCTCTCTTCCATCACACCGCTATGTCACTCACCTCTCGTAAGAGGCCGCGGACCATTCAGCCAGTTAAAGCCACCATAAAAGAAAATAACAGAAAAAAAAAAGAAAAAAAAAAAAAGGACTGTCAAGTATACAAAATGTCAAGTATAAACTGCTAAACTAAAAGTGATGAGTAATCTAAACATACAGTACTTTTTGGTTGTTAATTTGAAAAGGAAGTCGTTAGGTGTTAACTTAAAAAGACATGAATTCATTTATGCACTATATCTACTTGCCAAAATGAGATAGACTTTCATGTGGTCTTATTTTTATAGCCAAACACGAAGAGGAAACTGCTTCTGATTTAGAATTTAGGGAAAACCATGAGAGGAAGAGGAGACACTCAGAAACTGAAAGCTGATTCATTTTGTGCAGCGCATAATTACAGATTAATGCTTTTAAAAGACGTCTACTGGGGATTATTGTAATTACATGATGATAATCGCATTTCTTGAAGTACTTTTCTCTTATATTCCCTATTAAAGGCTAGTGCTGTCTGGCTCACACGTTAGTGACAGCTGTGAAATATGAATCAGTGTTCGGTTACTGCGGCTTTGGAGCATTGTTGATGTTGTGTAGTATTCTCCTTTATGATCAATCGACCATTCTGACCTCCTGTTTGGACTGATGTTAAAAAAAAGAAACCTCTGTGCTCTCTGATTGCGAAAGCTCACCTCTGCCAATCCTCATGAGGCTTCTCCAGTAACCTAATCACGATATGTATTATGTGCTTTACTTCTGTTCACATAACAGACATACCAAGATCTCTGCCTCATGACCGTCTCATAGTAGTTCTAGGTGGGGTATTTTCTTCTTTTTTTTGTGGGGGGTGGAGGGCTTGTATTACCTTTGACTGATGCTGTTCAAACTTCAAAACCATTCGCTGCTGGGGGATAGGGGCTTATCAACATCTCCAACAAAAGTGCAGAAGAGGCAACTAAATATGGTGATCACGTACAGTAGTAGTCTGGTTGTAATCTGTCACAGTTCATCATTTGATCATTACGATGTGTGAAAAGTCATTTAGACTCCCATGTTTAGGAGCCGCTCTGTTTCATAGTGCCTTGATGCACTTTGTTTTGGACCACATCGGCTGTATAAGAGTAGAGCTACTGTATAGTACCTTTATAAAGCAGCTATCTTTGAGGCTTTGGATAACACAGGAGCCCGTGAGACTGAATCTGTTGGCTATAGAAATAGCTTTACACAGAGCCAAGGCGCTCTAGCTTAATGTATTTGCCCTCTCGGCTGTGGTTGCTGTACCCACTCCAGAGCCACCTGACTGCCATTGTATGAAGTTACTATACCGTTCCTTTACAAAGCCATGTATAGAGCTACGATACACTATCAGTATACAGCGACTTACCTGGCCATAGAGTGTTTTTAGGGCCACCTGACCGCTACAGATCTGCCTGAATCGTATGTGTTTGTTTGTTTGATGTGTGTGTGTTTGTGTGTGTGTGTGTGTGTGTGTGTGTTAATTTTAGTTTAAAACCCCTCAAAGGGAAAGGGTCTTTTTAAATGAGTTGTGGAGTGTATGAGGGATGACAGTTGTGTAGCATAGTGTGTGTGTGTGTGGGGGGGGTTCCTGTTGCTTTGCAGTGGACAAAATCCAGTGTTGTAGAGAGAAAAAAAGGGATTTTACTGAAACAAAAAGAATCCATCATCAGTCTGCCTAAATATTAATCAAAGGGAGCAGAGGTGTCCGAAAGAATGTGTAGTTTATCAGTGTTTCCGCTTCAAATGCAACATAGTTACAAAGCCTCTCTAAATGCCTTAGTGTTACGGAGCTCTCATATGTCCCCCGCCATCATCTACTCTCACAAATAGATCCTCCAAAATATTCACTCCCACTGACTTTTCTTGGTGTTCTGCAGTAAGTGTAGTGAGCTCTAATTTGAGTATTTGTACGTCTTGGAATGATTTGCTTTGATTGATTGATGCCTGTTCGATTTTAAAATGCTTGAAAGCAGGTGGGAGTTTAAAGCTTTCAAAAGCCTCTGACCTTTTTTGATGTTCACACCCACCCAGACCTCACTGTATCGCTCAGGTGGGACGGCTCACGCGTCGATTTGAACCTTAACTACACACTCTGTACAGTTGTTGGTACTATTTGATGTGACAAACATGCCGGCACAGTAACTACAGTGCGGCTCCAAACAAATCTGACTCTGAAAATGAAAAAAAATTCAATTTAAAGGCATGTATTTCCCGTTCGGCTCCTTTCAGTGTTGATTACTGGCCAGGTCATCTGATGCCGGATGCAGATTTACTTTTCTGGCATTTGTTTGTCTCTGTCCTGTGCCATTAGTTCTGTCTGTATATCCCTACAGTATTTCCACTGTCTGTAAATGAGCGCTACATGTGCCTGTGGAAATGTACCCCCTGCAACTTCCTCTCTTTTCCTGGCTCTGTATGCATACAGTCTCACACATAAACTTAAATACTACAGTTTGTGCACCTGCACCGAGACATTATGCAGAACGCACGCGCGCACACACACATACACCTATAAGCAAACATGTAATGACACTTATTCATGCCCAGCTGGGAGATGTCAAGCACCGGGCAAAAGTAAGCCAAGGACGTCACTTCCCAGGTGGTTTTTCTTTTGGTGAGCGGGTGGAATGTCAGAGGCAAGCTCAGGGAGTGGGTCTCCACAGAGCAGCACGGGCCTGTCAAAGCGAAGGTCATGGAGGAATCACGTGGTGACGTCTGTGTGTGAATCCCAACGGAAGAAATCTTCTAGAGGGACACACATCTGATTTCTGTGGTTTTGCCAAAAAAAATTTAAAAAATAAAATAAAAAAAATAGAAAATTGGACCAGCTTGGGGATGAGAGGGAGGGGTCAGCTTTAGGACACGACCCTAAAATAAGTAGGGGATGGTTTTCATAAAGCCTCTTGCCCCCTTCCCCAGACCCTCGCTGCATCCGTGTTGGTGCGTCTCCGTGGGAAAGACACGTGTGTATGTGATTCTGTAGTCTGTAGTCTGGTGCTATGTGACCATGTCTGACAAGTGTGTGAAAAAAATAACAGCAACATTTAGAGAAAAAAAATGAATAAAATCAGTCGAATTTTAAGTGAAGTTTAAAAAAATCTATATAGGAATACAGCACTGTTGATAAGTTTGAGATCTGAAGTCGAAATGTTTTCAATTTATTTTTACTTTGTTTTATTTCTTGTACGTGTGTGAGTGTGAATGTTGGTGTGCGTGGAAGATTTAGCTCCTTCTTTTCTGGGCACTGGTCCATGTCGCTCCATTCTTTTGTACAGATGAAGCTTAAAAAAAAGAAAAAAGAAGAGGGCAAAATTTGTAAAATATTGTGTCTGTGACTCCTTGTAAAATATTTTCAAATTGTTTATTACAGAGAATCAGTTATTAAATAATGTTCATATTTTTCACTTCATTTCAGCGTCTGGTGTTTTGTTTTGTCAGACACAGGTGGAGATTCATTTAATTCAATATAAAATATATGAAAAGAACAATAAACTCACAATCGGAACTTTATTATTAATTGTAATACACAGTATTAATTTTTATGGTATAAAAGAAAATGAGACATCTTGAGATATATACTTTCTGTCGGAGATGACACAATTGATTTTGCTTTCCTGAAAATAACCGAAATGTGAATCCCGCCAGCAGCCGGCTAACTTAGCTTATTACAAAGACAGGAAATGGCGGAAAGCGCTAGCCTGGCTCTGTCCAAAGGGAACAAAATCTGCCAATCAGCATCTCAAATGCCGTGTTCATGCCATATGGGATGGAAGGTAGAGACAGGAAAGATTCACAACTTAACAAGCATTCATGTCATCAAGACGGATGTATGGTTGCAGTGTCGGCCATGTGAGGAATAAAATACCATGTATTGACAATATAACACCAAATCTCATTGGTTAAATACATTTAACAGCGGTCCTTGGTTGATGTGCAGCATCCGTGTTTCTTTTGTTTTCAGGCACTTCTGTAAGAGTGACGAGTCAGAATACAGCATATAACTTACTATTAACACTTTTGTTTAACTTGTACAAGAACCAACAAATTGCGTTTAGCTGGGGGTGCCAAACTAACAAAAACTCCAGGAACTTATTGGTCCCAGCCAACAAACAAACTAATTAAACATACCAAATATAACTTGTTAGTTTGTTTTAGTGCTGGTAGGTGGATTTTGTTACCTTTGAACAGCGATGTGAAAAGCGTATTTATCATAATGTCTTACTTCGAGCCTCATCTCCTCATAACTAGAAAAGTCTTGATTTCCAGTTTCATTACTGAGACTTAAAAAAAGTCAAAATCAGGTCATGCAGGAGGATGTGTGTGGCCTAAATTTCTCATGAATGAACAGTGTGTTTATGTGTGGCTGATTGTTGAGAATCTCAGAGCTTCACAGCGTATTGAGGAAATCCGTGAGAGCCTTGTGCCAAGTGTCCGGGTCATCCAGGTAACAGGGGTGACCTGCTCCTTTCATCACCACCACACTGTGATTGGCGAGATTGCTCAGGTTGCCGAGAGACAATTCTCCGAGCTGAATGTCCTGGTCACCGTAAACGATGAGTGATGGGACCTGGAGAAGAGGCGGGACACAAAAGCTTCACATGAAGACAAAGAGATCCTTTCTTGCTAAAATCTGTTTTTAAATTCAAACCCGTAGCTAATGGGATTTTGTGGGTGTCCTGTATTTTACCTCAAGTTTAAAAAAACATTCAAACAGGTCTTATAAAAAGATAAAAAGCAAGCTTTTCATTTTTCTTAAGTGTGACTCATTTATGTGTCTTCATGTCAATGAGAATAAATAAAAGGGTAGGAACAGACTAGTCTAGCAGGCCTTAATGGTATAATAATAATATTCACATCACATTAGCTATGGAAAAAGTCGTCACTGAAATAAAAGTCACAATGCACCAATATAATTATACTCCATTACAAAGTAAAAGTCCTGCATTAAAAAGGTACTCCAGTGGTTTAGTTTGGCATTTACTTAAAGTTGGAGGACTTTCAAAATACAGATTAAACAGAGAAGCAAAAGGAAGCAATTGAGGCCGAATTATCCTGACTTTTAACATACTTCATCAGAAGTCAGTGTGTTTGTCGAATGTTCAAAAACAGTCAAAAGAAATTGTGCGTTATCATCCCCATAGTTAAACTATTATTGCACCCAGTTACACACACCCCCAGGTGACCCACCTGTCACCCCGCCTTCAAGTGGCCATTTGTAAGAGATATAAACACTTCAGCCTTCTGGTGAGTTTGGACATCACATTTCGAAAAAAGTTGGAACCTACAATTTCCAAAATACTACTCAGTAGCATCTTTTTGTCTACAGTTTGTAATGAAAGGTTTTGACTGTGTCCAAAATAACCACTCATTCACTACTCTCTACTCCCTAGCTAGTGAATTGTATGTAGAGGACTATATAGTGAGCTCACCCGCAAAATGAAAACAACACTTTCGGACACTACTCCGATCATTATGTCTGTGCCGTTAATTACTTCATAGCTGTCGGACAATCAGTTGGTGGACTGTTTTTTCTACCAGCGTAATACATGATGGTATATACAGCTTGGTTAGTGACCATCAGTTGTACACTACTTTTGAAAAAGGCATCCTGGGATACTTTGAGTCCACTATATAGGGTAAAATAATTCTCACTATACATTTGGACAGCACTACAAAATGGCGAGCTCACTATATAGCGAGTAGTGGGTGATTTAGGACACAGCCTTTCTGTTATAAACCAAACCAAGATGGCATCACTAAGTCGTCATCAGGGTTATTTTCTCAGCCTTTTGAAAGCTCCTCCAGAGCCACAGAAGACATTATGCGACTATTTTCACTGGCTGAGTAATACTTTCACTTGTAAAAACGTAACGTGTATAAAAAGTAAAAGCTCCCATTAAAAATGGCCAATGAGTGTTTTACTATTTTATTATTGCATCATAATTACTGATGCCTTAACGCGTAAGCAGAATTTAAGTTTTAAGTTGCACTATGTCAAGATGGAGATAATTTGAACCACTTAGATATATCTAAAACCTGCAAAGAAACTAATAGCTGTCAAATAAATGCGGTTGATTCAAGTTACCTTTCACCACATGCCTTTTATCTGTTTTTCTGTATGTATTTATACATGCTATAAACAGCCCACTTTGGTATCATTGTCACTGTTTCTGCTCCGATATTTTCCCCTCTCCTTCACGGATAATGTACCTTCAACTTGGTTTGCCATCTAAAGCATTTTATTTTGAAATAGTTGGCAGCTGGATGAAAGCCAGTGGCGTTTGTGAAAGTATAAAGTCACATGATATCTGCTCCTCTCATGGTCACATGTATAAAATAAAAATCCTCAGGGAAGAAGGTGCTGGAAAATGGGGTTCACATTCACGGTTGTGTTAAAGTTATCCTTTAAAGAGAAAGTGAGGAGAAAAAAGTTTTGCAGGACAGGCAACTACAAAGTAATATAAAGAAGAGGGATATCAGACTGTACCTTCACACTCTGGTATTGCTCTGCTGTGAATTTGTCGGTGCAGATGGGAGCTACAGGGATGTAGGCTCGTATCAGAGCCTGGTGCTGGAGGAGGAATGGGAGGGAGTACATCCCACTGAGGGACGGGCTGATCACCACCACCGGGCTCAGGCTCAGCCGTTCACACACCTCTTTTAGGAAACCTGCAGGGGCCAGTTCTCCAACTGGTGCCGGGGCCTCGGCTGATTTAGACCGGCCAAGTCCTGTGGATAGATGGAAAGAGAGGGGGCAGCAGGTGTGGACATGAGCAAAGGTATGTTCTCATGCTTGAGATTCATCATTCTTCATATTTGTTGGACACCAGAACATTTTCATCAGAGGTTTTCAAACTGTGAGACGCAGCGGGGGAAACAAAGATGCTTCCTTAGGGGAAAGGGACAGGTGCTTGCAGGTGTTCTGAAAACAACAGGAAGTTATTGTAGTTTGGTTGCTGATTTGGCCCACTTACCAACACCGCCAGCAGCAGTGACGGTGACACACAGCTCATAGAGGCAATTAAGGTACTTTAAAACCCTTAGTGCCCAGTTGCCCCAAATTGCATCAAAAATAAGACTCCCTATTGGGGTCACAACTCAGTCAAACAGACATTATACACATATTTTTAAGTACAGTGTGACTTTCATTGCCCAAGGATAACATTACCCATCGCGAATAAACATCCATAAATCCGCTTGGAAGTCAGAAAAACAGTTCTCCTTATAACTCAGAACTCATTCATCAAGTCAGTCATCATTACAGTAACCAACTGTGTAATGTACTTTACTGCCGTGCCACTCTTTCATTAATTATTTTGTCCCTCACAGATTACAGAGGGGTGATTTAACAGTGTCAAACAACAAACTAATCCATGATGGTAGTTTTATACATGTATAAAACTACCATCATGGATTAGTGTGTAAAGGCAACTCTTTGCTTTTATTGCCCCCTTCCTGTAACATCAGAATATCAGTTAGTTTGTGTTAATTTGATGAAGCAGAGCTTTCTTTGGGAAAATGCATCATGTGAGTACAATATAAACTAAAGGAATGACATTGTTAGAACTAGATTTCGACACAGAGCACCTCTAAAAGACAGGGCCACAATATTATGTAATAATATGGTTGATATTATAGTTTACTGGTACAAATTCAGTTTTATATCTGCAAGTAATCAACTCACCAAAGACCAGTCACAGTGAACCTGGGGCTTTTAGGGCCTTTTTTTGTCCGGTTGGTGCTCCAGACTTGTGTGAAGTAGTGAAAAAAATCAAGCATGTTCCCATTAGACTCACCTGGCAGGTCGATGGCGACCGCACGGCAGCCTGCTTTGGCCAGAGTGTCCAGAGTGCCGATGCTGAGCCAGTTTTCTGATGAGAACCTGATGCCGTGAAGAAGTAAAACCGACATCCTCACTTCCCCTGTGGCCGGTTCACTTTGTCTGTAGAACAGTGGCGCCTTGCAGCTCTCCACCTGCACACTCCCCTCAGTCATCTTAACAACTGACATCCTGAACAGAAATCAGACGACACTTTAACACACAAAACCATCGCCTTAAATACTTTTACTTAAGTTAAATTCTAAATGTACTTTTACTTGTAGTTGATTATTATTATGGTGTGGTTAGATCTTAACACTTCTTCCGCTACTGTGGCCACACAAAATGAAGCGCTGAAGATTTGTGCCTGAGAGGGCTTCACAAGCTGAACAGCACAAGACACCCTCTCAATCGAGTCAATCAACATAAGATAAATTGTCAACAATTTTAATAATCAATAAATCATTTTGACAAACACTCTCTTGTTCCAGTTTCTCAATGTGAGGATTTGCTGATTTTTTCAAATTTATATTATTGTAGTTTGAATTATACATGAATATGGATTTTGGACTGTTTAAAAAAAGTGCACTTTTCACTATTTCTGATGTTTTATATACTAAACAACTAATCAAAAAATTGTTGATGAATTAATTAATAATAAAAATAGATGTAACTCTAAAATAAAGTACATAACATGAAACATTAACAAAACGCAATTTTATGGTGCAGGATGCAGCATGTGGTTGTCCCGTGACAGTGGTGGCCTTCAGATGCCTTCTGGAAAAGTACAGAAGTATTAGCAGTAAAATGTACTTAAAGTGAAAGTCCTTGTTTTGCAGAAAAAATAGCTCCCATCAGTATTACATTACTATCTATGTATACTGGATTATTAGTCACAGTGATGCATTAATGTGTAAGCAGCATCTAATGTAACAGCTAGTGGATGTGGAGCTAATTTTAATTTATATACTATCTGGTAGATGTGAACTGTATTTTATAAGCTCATCATAGGTTTTGTATAAAATAACTGTCTGTTATTGAAGGCAACACTTTACTATAAATCCCCATAGTTAGCATAATAAGCAGTATCTAAATATTTAACAAATGGTTTATAACCCACTATAAAGTGGTTGTAAGCAGCTATAAGTGTTTATTATTGTAACAACCATAACCCCTCCTGTCAATGAAGGCTGCTGTATAAACAGATAATAAATGAAAATATTAAAAAGAAATAGTTGTAATAATATTAAATCTGTCTTTATAGGAGAAGGTTTAATTACTAACAAATACTGTACATTAATAAATAGTTGAAATGTTCTTATAACTGCAAACAACTACATAATCATGCGTTATAAACAGTGGTGGAAGAAACTTGAACTACAAGAAAGAACATTTACTCAAGGACTGAACTTAAATACAATTTTGAGGTATTAGTACTACAACAAACTATTATATAAACTGTACTTTAAATGTAAATATTGTATTTTTAAATCCACTTGATTTAATAATGTAAGTTACTAGTTACTTTCCAGATTCAAATTAATAATACAAAAATATAATCAACAAGTAAAGTGTAATGTATTATTATGGATTACTGATCCCTGAAGGGGAAAAGCTAACCAGCAGTTTATTAACTAATTAAAATCAGCTCCACCTTTACCAGCTGCAGCATTACAGTGATGACTATATTAATGCATCAATAAATATAATAATCTAAAATATTATAATAAACATTATTCTGATTATTCTAATTTTACTTGTTACAGAGTATTTCTACACTGTGGTATTACTACTTTTATTTAAGTAAAAGATCTTTTACCACCATTAGTTATAAACTTTTATTAAATGTTTGTATAACGCTTGTAAATGCTAAATAGGGGGAGTTAAAGAAAAGTGTTATCCTGTTGGATATTGAATAAGTACATCCCTCTTACATAAAGTAGCACAAAATGGAAATACTCAGGTAAATTCAAGTACTTTAAAATTGTACTTAAAGTACAGTAGGCAACTTTACTACAAAAAAGCTTTTAAAGCTTTTATCCAAAAGGATCAGGTGGGAGCTGCTGGAGAGTTTTTCCCTTCAGTTTAGTTCAGAAGAGCACCTATGCATGGCAAACAAAAACAACAGCCTCAAACGTTGCAGCAGCACATGAAATCCACACCCCTCTGGCACCGTTTCAAGAAGTTAAACATTGTAAGCTGCTCCACAGAGACATTTATTGGATTAGACTTACTCTAACCCGTTTAGCACGACGTTGCTGTTAATTTTTCCAAATTCCCCGCGCGTTTAAATAACGGACCTGTATGTTGTTGTCAACAGGATTCAACTCAGAGACGTGTTGTCCAGTTCAGTGTCAGAGTAAATGAAGAGTTTGTGCACAGCTGGCAGGTTTAACAGTCTGACCAAAGTCCACATTAGATCATTTTATTTGTAATATCGAGCTCGCGCTCAGCACATTTGCTCTCAATCACAAACACGATGAGAAAACATCTGCCTCTTCTTCTTACCTGACAGCCTCCAACAAAGAATCGGTGATAAACTTGCAAAATAAAGCAGGGCAGCTTAGTCTCGGAGCAGCTGTAGTTTCACTTCATTACCCGGAAAACAGGAAGAAAGAAAAGTAAAAAAAAAAAACCTCTGGAAATTGTTCTACTGACGTCTAGCGTTTGTAAAGGGAATGGCTTTTATTATAGCAGCAAAAAGTCAAAATGTCTTTTTATGCGGAATATTTGGTTTAATCGTCAGGTATACTATTGTCAGAGTGGATATTTGAGTGTCATGAAAAAGTACATGAACAAGGACTGATGTGCCAGTCTTCATTAATGATTAATGGACATATATTGATTTGCTGTGTTTTGGGGAGTTAAGGCCTCAGTTTGAGTAAGGGCTCACTGTTCACGTGCGGGAGGTTGTCTGAGTCACTGTTTCATGTTTTCTGCTTTATCTGCGTGGATTTCTTACATCCTACTCAACTTTTTGGGTTTAAGTTTTTTTTTCTCTCACTATCAGATCGACCTGTGAGCAGATGTTTAATTCCCTCAAAATCGTCAGAAGAACAAGACTTCAGAGCAGAAATCTGTCTTAGACTTCCATTCTGTACCGTAAAATATTCTTCAGCGTCCACAGACCACAAACAATGAAGTTGTTGCTGCCCTGTATTCTCCTGACAGTTGGACTGGCCACTGGTAAGAAACTTTTATCATCCTAATTGTCTTCTATTATAAATTACTCATAGTTATTCAAGTGTCAGTGTTGTTATGAGGAATGTACATGTTTGGTTTTATTGTGTATTTTGACATCAGTTCACACGTAATTAAAACCAAGTTTAGTAACTGTGTCTTTGGGGTTAAAAATAAACTACAAAACACAACCAATCAGTTATTTTCAATGTTATATTTGAAAGTTGAAAGTCAAAATCAAAGGATTTTTATGTAATAAATATCAGCACTGCTTGAATGTATACCAGTAGTAGTAGTAGTGGTGACTGTTTCAGTAACCAGATGTGTACTGTGTTACTGTTTGAAGCTTTTTCTTGGTCCAAAGGTTATATGTGTGCAGGCTCGTGCCCAAATGTTGCAGCTGGTACCAGTCAGAACCTGTACTCCAATGTGAACTAAACTAACATATAAGATACAATTTATTCAGTTTATTGTTCTGTATATCCATAAACAGGTTCCCGCAGTCCGCTGAATGACTTCCAGCGCTCTGAGGGCAGAGAGTTGGTTCCCACCTCCTGGAACTCAGCTCTAGTGTTGATGTTGCCAGGCCTGAGCCTGGAGGACTGTGCCACACGCTGCTCACAGTCTCTGGACTGCAGGTATCCAACCTTCAACTACTTTAATACAGCAGAATGTGAGCATCACTCAGCACCCTTTCCTCCAACAAGGCCATAATTAGAATATGGTTTCTTATAACTTCACATATTTGAGTCTGTGATTTATTAAGTATTACAGATCATCGCCAGGGTGCTGTATCTTCCAGTTTGCAGGTGTAAGTGTTGGACCTGTAAACTTGATGTCTTACTGTATGAGTGAATTATAGGAAACATCTGAACCGTAAAGCGCCATGATTGTCCAAAATCTGTTAAAAACTCATCAGTGATCCCAGTGTTGCACAACAAAACTAGTGGAGCATCAGAATAAAGGAAACATTTTAACTACCACAACATTAAAATTAGTAACAACAATGATTCATTACTCCTAATTATCCAGAACACATAATTTCACATATTTACAATAGTAAAAGAATTTCAAAATGATATATAATCATAGTATATTGCAACTTGTATCTGCATATTGCTTTTCATATCAGGGATCTCAGAAGTGCAAGAATGTTTATAGACAAACAGTTCCGTTATCATTTTATTGTTAGCCTTCTTTTTTCTCTTCCCAAATAAGTTTAGATGTGCTTAAAAACCTTGATGACTGACTACTTGTGCAGCATGTATCAAGATCAGAGCAATTTGTGTTATCACTGCTGACAGAAATTATGGTCAGCACTATGAAAATAAGACCCAAGTTGTAATAAACCAGAATTTTGTCCATTAAAATTGGTCAACACTAATAAAGCAATTAACTTATGAACCCTTTAATTAGTTTAGCTTATTGTAAGTTTGTATCCCTCAACACCAGAGCATTCAACCACGAGACACGTCCGACTGTCACCTGTAAACATCTGCCCTGGGTGGGCGACGGGAGCAACGCAGAGGTGAAGAGAAATGTAAACTGTGACCTTTATGAGAAGAAGGGTAAGACACAGGTGTGATGTTGCAGAGATCTATGTGACATGTTGGCACCGCAGTTGTTTGACTGGCTGTTTTTTTTTTATTTATTATGAAGTCTACGTCAGAAAGTGCATTGTGGGTAAAGGAGAAGACTACAGAGGGAAAGTCTTCACCACAAAAAGTGGGCTCACCTGCCAACAGTGGTGGTCCAAGTTTCCTCATGATCACAGGTGAGATGCTTCCTCCGAGGAATCTTTTTCGAGGCTTTAGTCTTTCATACAGAGTCATCAGGAAGTATTTGGACAGTGATATTTTTCTACTCATAGCTCTTTTTATACATAATCCTCGCTGACCTCAATCCAGCTGATAATGTGTTTTGCTTCTTAAAAACAGACTGAAAGTAATAAAACCCCAAAATAAGCAGGAACTTGGTGAAGAAGTGAAGATGGCTGCAGTACAGGCCTGGCAGACCTTTACTGTCTGTTGTTCTTAATGGATTGTAGATTGTATTGACTCCAAATATTTTAACAAAATAAATAAACATTAAATATGACAATTTTATTTAAAGCTCCACTCATCAGTGTTTGTATATTAGTTAAATGTTTAGTTAAAAGTTTTACATGAAAGGAGTCATTCATTCAAATTATCAGCAGACTCTGCACTTCCCCTCAGCTCTACACAACTTGCCTGTTTTGGTTTTCTGGCCTCAAAGCAGCTGTTTTCAGCATTAAAAAAAAGTTATCAAAACCCACTGGATGCTGCCTGCCCAGCACCAAATAGCAGACAGACAAAGTTAGTGACTACCTGGTGACAACAGTCAAGAGCCAGATGTAATCCCAGGAGTTCATGGAGACCAAACCAGAGCTAACAGTAGAGGGAATAGGACTTTATTAGGTTGCCAGACTACCATTTTAATTACATATTAATGTTGCTCCTTGTCCATTGGATGTGCAACGGGTAGCCAGCATTACAGACAAAACAACTTTATAAGCCGATACTGTGGTGAAAGTGTTTGTTTTTATTATGCCTCCAAGTGGCCAAAAATTTTACTGATGCAGCTTTAGGTTGTATTAATTTGTCCACTTACTTTCTTTCCTTTTCAAATTGGGTGACTGTGTATAAAAAGGGCTCCAACTCCTGCAGTATCGATCTGATGTGGATGAAAACACCCTCAAATGAGAGCTGAGACTCTGCGTTTTAAGCTCTTAGTTACTGATACATTTCCAATCCAATGCTGGCAGTACAGAGCTCATAAAACAAACAAATGTGCCACTGTCTGAATGTATAATAACCGAGGCAGTCCATCACTCACTGTAAAACTTTTTTGTTTGTATCAGGTGGACTCCCACAGCCACAAATGGTCTGGAGTTGAACTACTGCAGGAATCCAGATGGGGATCGTATTGGTCCGTGGTGCTACACCACTGACCCTGAGAGACGTTATGAAAGCTGCTACATCCCCCAGTGCAAAGATGGTACATCCCATATATCACCATAAAACACTTTATTTACAGGTCCTGAAATGTCTCAATTCCTAGGACACTTCTTGAAATGAAGTACATTATTTACTACTAATTATGGGAAAATGGCAACAATATTCTGAGAAATTATACTCATTAATTTCTCTACATAAGATTTTAGGGAAAATAATAGGGAAAATAAATTTGTACTTTAATAGTTAGGTACTGTCATGATGTGGCTCAAAGGAAGGACAAAATGTGGAGACCAAACACGACTCTTTAAATTATTTAAGAAAGCTAAATTAAGTGTGCACTCAGTTCAACTGGTATAAGAAAACAAAAACAAATCACCCAAAGTCCAACCAAGCCAATTAACCTAGAGAGGAGAGAGAGACTGACTGCTCAGACACCTGTGTACATATAGGTGAACTTCACACCAACCCACGTGTCAGCTGTCACTCCTAATGAGCCACTCTCTAGATCAGCACATACACAGGAAATCGGTCTTGAGGCCGTCACATAAGCATAAGCAGGTGTTGACTTCTGATCCAGATCCATTAAAACCCAAGAACACATGCATTTATTTTGTTTAAAACTTCATTCCCCTTGCTAGTGTTATATATTTTCCTGTAATTATCAACTACACATAAAAACAGATTTCATTGTTGTTTGCATGCTCACTTAACCTGCTGTGCACTGATTGAGAAATGGCTACTTTGGTAAAAGAAGGTTGTAATTACCAAGTGTATCATTTGAACACAGACTCCATTTTCTCTGTAATTAGTATGAAATTACAGTCTCTTCCAGGAACCTTCGTGTGAAATTACAATTATAATGTGAAATAAAATACTTTCTGTGTGGATGATGTAATTTTGTGGATTTGTTTGCAGAGGTATGTATCACATGTAATGGCGAGGACTACAGAGGGCAGGTTGACCACACAGTAAATGGCAGAGAGTGTCAGAGATGGGACCAGCAGCACCCACACCAACACATCTACCAGCCTGAAAAGTACTTAAGTATTGATCATTACATTACCTGTCATATGCCTAATTAGCCAAATTAATTGATGATATAAACTGGTGTGTGTTACTATACTATTTTGTGTTAGCATGCGAATCAGTGTCAAGTCAGGATCTGCACCTTCTCCCACAGCTTGTAAACTGTTAAGCTGTTTTGTTATTGGGAAATAAATTACACATTTTCCAGGTATCCTGATAAGAGTTTAGATGATAACTACTGCCGTAACCCTGACGCCTCTCCAGTGCCCTGGTGTTACACCACAGACCCTGAGGTGGAGAGAGAGAACTGTGAGATCAGCAAGTGCAGTAAGATGCTGCTTTTGTTACTATTGTGACAAGGAATTAATTGAAAGTTAATAATTCTTTGGTAAAAGTGCCTCTGTTTCCATCTTTTCAAATGTGACAGTTTGCTGCTTTTCTCAGGGCTTTGGACAAAACAATTG